TATCCATGTCAATTATGTGGATATAAAGCAACAACACATCATTCACTCCGTGGCCATATGCGATCAAAACACACCGCGAAGAAATTCAAATGTGCTTTATGTCCAAAAATGTTTATGAGCTCAACTTCATATCGTATTCACCAAAGCACTCACAACAATAAATATGTAAAATAATGCAACTTTCTTATTTACATTATTTAATTAACAATTCTTTTGTTTTTATTTCAGAATTACGAATGTCAAACTTGTTACAGAAAATTTAAAACATCATCATCTCTTGTTCGTCATAATCGTCTTCATAAGCCTGAGAAATTAGAAGAAATTAAAAAGAAATACGGTTGCGAATTTTGTGGAAAACAGTTCCTTGGTAGCTATGCATTGAATCGTCACATTAATACACATACAGGAGTAGTAAGTTTAGAATTTACTTTACAAAAATATTTAAACAAATTTAATTACAGAAATTGTTTCTAATTTTCAGAAACCATTCATTTGTAACTTTGATGGTTGTGGAAAAGCTTTTCCCGAGAAATACATATTGGAAATGCATATAAAAGGGCATAATGGTGAACTTTTATACAGATGTCACTTTGAAGGATGTCAAGAAGCTTTTAAGTCAAGATCGCAATACAAAATACATAAAGAAACTCATCCAACTCAAGATATAATCATAGAAGCTTTTGAAATTATTTAAAAGTTTTTCTTTATACTTATATGCCTTTTTCTTTTAATATTAGATATAATAAATTAATTAAATTACATTCAGTTATATGAATACTTAAATTGCATGCAGTTACTGACATTTTTGTGTATAAAAATATCTAACCAATTTTATTTTTTGAATTTAAGTTAAAAATTTTATTTCGCAATCGAATATTAACGGAAAAATTATTCAAATTTATTACATATTTCCATTGAAGTCGCTCGACGGCTAGGTTATCAGAACAAATTGGAAACGCTTGTAAACACTCGAAAATTTTCAAAGTTCTTAGTAAAAAGTTTTGTAAAAAGAATCTTTTACTTAAATTTAATAATAAAACATAGTCAATAAATACTTAAAGCGTTTAAAAATGGCTAATTATTGTAGATTGTGCTTGAAAGAATCGGAGACACTTTCAATCTATACTTACCAGAAAAATTATACAATTACTTACTGGATCACTGCTGTTATTCCTGAGTTGATTTTCGAAGATAATGATCCTTTCTCAAAAGGAATTTGTCTTGAATGTTTGGACATAATAATGAAAGCGAATGAGTTAAAAAGGCAAAGTATCGCAAATGATGCTCAAATGAGAGAAAGATATGAGAAAGTTGCTTGGGATACGGAATGGATTGAAATGTGCAATATTAAAAAGGAAGACGATACTTCGGATCCTCAAATATCTTTAAAATCTAATGTCAGAAATGTTCCAAAGAAAAGAATGGAACTTCGCCCTCGTGAAAAATCCACTAAGAAATCTCCGGAGGGAAAAAAACTGAAAAAAGCTTGCAGAAGAAAAGAATTTATCATCGACAGAAGAGCACCAAGACCTCGTATTATTAAAAACAAGAGAAAGTTAAAAAATAAATCTTTAAAAACACATGTGAGATACGCAAAATGTAGTAAATGTGAAAAAAAGTTTGATTCCTGGGAAGAGTTAGATTTACACAGTTTTTTACATTGTGATTATGTTGAAGAATATCAAGATCCAAATCCCCAAGTATGGAAATGCTGCTTGTGCGTTTTTAAAACAATATTAGGACAGGAAGATCTTCATGAACATCTTTAAATTCATAAGAAAGAGTTTGAAAGTGACGACATTGTGATTTGTAATCGATGTTCATATATTTTCAAAGATTTTGATGACAGTATAAGTCACATAGATGGGCATAACATGCCAATTACACATCGTTGTCTGAAATGCATGAAAATGTTTCCTTTTGGTAAAAAGTTACTTCGTCACTTACAACGTTATTCATTTTATCGTTATTGTGACTATTGTGGATATTCTGCAATGGAGAAAAAAGCACTTCGAGATCATATACTTACTGTTCATTTTCATAAGCATTTATATTTATGTCAATTATGTGGATATAAAGCAACAACACATCATTCACTCCGTGGCCATATGCGATCAAAACACACCGCGAAGAAATTCAAATGTGCTTTATGTCCAAAAATGTTTATGAGCTCAACTTCATATCGTATTCACCAAAGCACTCACAACAATAAATATGTAAAATAATGCAACTTTCTTATTTACATTATTTAATTAACAATTCTTTTGTTTTTATTCCAGAATTACGAATGTCAAACTTGTTACAGAAAATTTAAAACATCATCATCTCTTGTTCGTCATAATCGTCTTCATAAGCCTGAGAAATTAGAAGAAATTAAAAAGAAATACGGTTGCGAATTTTGTGGAAAACAGTTCCTTGGTAGCTATGCATTGAATCGTCACATTAATACAAATACAGGAGTAGTAAGTTTAGAATTTACTTTACAAAAATATTTAAACAAATTTAATTACAGAAATTGTTTCTAATTTTCAGAAACCATTCATTTGTAACTTTGATGGTTGTGGAAAAGCTTTTCCCGAGAAATACATATTGGAAATGCATATAAAAGGGCATAATGGTGAACTTTTATACAGATGTCACTTTGAAGGATGTCAAGAAGCTTTTAAGTCAAGATCGCAATACAAAATACATAAAGAAACTCATCCAACTCAAGATATAATCATAGAAGCTTTTGAAATTATTTAAAAGTTTTTCTTTGTATGCCTATTATAATACGTATAATAAAATTATTTGCAGTAATGCTTTTATTTATTACATGCTCGTAATTTTAATATCTAATCAGTTTTATTTTTTGAATTTAAGTTTGAAATTTGTTAAAAGAACAAATACAATAACGGAAAAATTATTCAAATTTTGTTATCTTCAGTAATGCCGTTAGGCGGTTTGAATAATCAAAACAATCTTGACAAACTTGTAATCACTCGCAAATTTTCAAAGTTTTAAAAAAAAGGTTTTGCAAAAAAGGATCATCTGCTGAAGTTTAATATTTACAGTAAAGATAATATAGTTAAAAAGGATATAAAGTGTTTAAAAATGGCTAATTATTGTAGATTGTGTTTAAAAGAGTCTGATACAATTTCCATTTATACTTACAAGAATAGTTATTCAGTTGCTTACTGGATCACTGCTATTATTCCTGAATTGATTTTTGGGAATAATGATCCTTTGTCAAAAGAAATCTGTTTAGAATGTTTGGACATAATAATGAAAGCGAATGAATTGAAAAATCAAAGTATTGCAAATGATGCTCAAATGAGAGAAAAATATGAGAAAGTTGCTTGGGAATCTGAGTGGATTGAAATGTGTAACATTAAAAAGGAAGAGGATATTTCAGATTTTCCACCATCCCTAAAATCTGAAAATAGTGTATGTTTTGAAGCAACGGTTAGACTTGAAAAATTAAATGTCAAAAATGTTCCAAAAAAACGAATGGAATTTCGTGCTCGCTGCAAATCCGGCAAAGAATCTTCTACAAACGGAAAACGGATAAGAACTTACAAGAGAAAAGAATTTATTATCGATAGAAGAGCACCAAGAGCTCCAATCATTAAAGATTTAAGTAAGATAAAAGATAAATCTTTAAAGAAACGTGCTGTAAGATATGCAGAATGTAATAAATGTGAAGAAAAGTTTGATTCGTGGGAAGAGCTTGATTTACACAGTTTTATACATTGTGATTATGTTGAAGAATATCAAGAACCAGGTGCTCGAATTTGGAAATGTTGTTTATGCGTTTTTAAGACAATATCAGGACAGGAAGATCTTCATGAACATCTTTACATTCATAAGAAAGAGTTTGAAAGTGACGACATTGTGATTTGTAATCGATGTTCATATATTTTCAAAGATTTTGATGACAGTATAAGTCACATAGATGGGCATAACATGCCAATTACACATCGTTGTCTGAAATGCATGAAAATGTTTCCTTTTGGTAAAAAGTTACTTCGTCACTTACAACGTTATTCATTTTATCGTTATTGTGACTATTGTGGATATTCTGCAATGGACAAAACAGAACTTCAAGATCATATACTAGCCGTTCATTTTCATAAATATTCATATTTATGTCAATTATGTGGATTTGAAGCATCAACAAATCAATCACTTGGTTGTCACATGAGATCAAAGCACACAGAAAAGAAATTTAAATGCGCGATTTGCCCAAGAGCTTTTGTCAACTCAACTTCATATCGTATTCACCAAAGTTCTCACAACAATAAATACGTAAGATTCTACAGTTTATCATTTAAATCGATTAATATTTTCTCCTTTTATCTTTATTCTAGAATTATGAATGTTTAACTTGTTATAGAAAATTTAAAACATCATCATCTCTTGTTCGTCATAATCGTCTTCATAAGCCTGAGAAATTAGAAGAAATTAAAAAGAAATACGGTTGCGAATATTGTGGAAAACAGTTCCTTGGTAGTTACGCATTGAATCGTCACATTTATACACATACAGGAGTAGTGAGTTTAATTTTACTTGTTTTTAAATCTTTATAAAACGAAATAGAATTTTACTAACACAACTCATTGAAAATTTTCAGAAACCCTTTGTTTGTAGTTTTGATGGATGCGGAAAAGCATTTCCAGAGAAATACAAATTGGAAATGCATATTAAAGCACATAATGGTGAACTTTTGTACAGATGTCGATTTGAGGGATGTCAAGAAGTTTTTAAGTCAAGATCGCAATACAAAGTCCATAAAGAAACTCACCCAACTCAAGATATCATCATAGAAACTTTTGAATTAATCTAAGTAAGAATTAAGAAAATGAAACATACCTAGGAATTCATGAGCGTTTTCGTCAATCACTTTTTAATTAGTTGATATTCCTTGCATTTTAATTTTATAATATAAAAAGAAATTGTTTCAGTTGTTGCAAATCTGAAGTTGCTGTTAGTGAAAGTTATTTGCGAACTACCTTGATGTGTACTTACATAAGTCACATATCAAGTATTCGAAATATCATTATAAAGCTTACATCACAACGAAATTCTTTTAAAATAAATAAGGAAACAAAATTTATTTTAACACTGAAGAGTATTGTGGTATGTTTATGAGTTTAGAACTAACCAACTCTTCAATATTGTATTATTTTTGGCCTGTTGACTTATTCTATAACTTTGACGTTCATAAAAACATTTTTCAAAGCGCTTGAATTTCTAGATTGTTTTCAACTCGGTTTGTGATTCAATAAATAAAAGCTTAATAAATGAAAAATTGCAAAAATTTTGTAAGTAAAATTGTTTTTTGAAACTTTGCAGAACAACATCGTAATTTACGAATAAAATATTACATTGACTTGGAAAATCATTCACATGAAATGAATTCATCAAGAATTAATGGAAAATGCTTCAAAATTAGATTCAATGTCATTTCCATGACAAAGGTTTGTGATATTTGAAGCATGATCTTGAGTGGTTTTACATTTGTGGCAAAATCATTTTCAATCACAGGTTGCGAGCAGAGATAGTCATTTGATTTCAAATTTCAATTATTTTTAATTTTGGAATAAAATAATTTGCCTGAATTACTACAAGACTTTACACCAATGAAATGTCTGTCTCTGGCTTACAACACGTAAAAATTTACTGTTTGAATTTCAAAGCTCTAAATTTTGCATTTCATACAATTACCTAAGTCTTTTTTAAAAAAGTCGGCTCATTTTTATTCAGGTTATTGTGACAGCAAGCATTTTGTTAAAAATAATATTCTGTCGCATTTTTAAAATTTATCAAAATCATGTATTTATACATGTTATAACAATAATTACTGTTTATCTTATTTTTTTTGCTTCTCTAAAAGGATGTGAATCTAATGCTATACTGAAAGTAAAACGTTTAATATCAGACTAAAAATCTATCCAGACGCGATTCCCATTCACTACTTGTCTTTTCAATATCATGAAAATTCGTGAATGGAAAAGTGTTAAAATCAAAACAACTGTTCAAACATAAAAAATGCAGATACCTACATACATGCTTCGTTACATGTTTTTAATTGAAAATTTTTAATCCCAGTTGGAAAGACAGTCGAAGCTCTCTAAGAAGAAAAACTCCATACATGATCACCTCTTCAACTGCATTCATACTTAAAAGCAATTCTAAAAGAAGAAAAAATACACAAGACCAGCCATTCAGCTTCCACTTATAGAGATTAGACTTTAATAAAAAGATATTTCTGAAGTCGATAAAAAATTATTACGCATTTAAAGCTTTGCTCAAAAAAAAATCTAATCTAATCAAGTTTAAGGTTGAATATTCAGCATAAATTGTTGATTGTCGATTACAATGAAAATAAGTAAAAAATCTTAAGTGTTTCAAATTTATGCCAAAATGAACAATTGAAATAAGATTTTTCACGCTTTTTCTATGTCCGAAATAAAAATGAACAAATAATGAAAATTGTGCAAAAACTCAGAAGAAAGCCAAAAAATTTAAAACTTACCAAAAACTTTCACCATCTTCACTTTCACAAAGCATTTTATTTTTATAGCTGATTCTAAATGAGAAAGTGTTTGATAGCTTGAAACTTTTTGTAGATTTAAAGATTCTTTTTGCTATTTTAGTTTCAAGAAATATTTTTTCACAACATTTAGAATAATGTCCAAAGAAATATCAAGTTTTATGTTTTGCCATATGTCACGAGAAATTAAGAAATAAGAATAAAAAACAAACAAAAAATAAGGAAGTGCATCATAAATTCAGTGTGCATATGTAGTTATTTTTCTGGTTGTTGTCAAAGTTTTCTGGCGAGAGCACATCAGACCGAAAAGTTTCGTTTACATATTCATAACGATTATCCTTAAACAGATAAGTAGACATACATTTTACATTTTTTCTGCAGATAACGTAATCAAATAGATATACTGAAAATTTCTTCAAAACCTTTCACTATTTATTAGTTATTATCTAATGGTGACATTATCTGAATTTCTGATATTTAAAACAGAAATTTTGAGCGAGAACTTTTGTGACGGAAGACTGAATTTTTATTAAATAATGTGGTTTTTAAAATTAGTAAGCGCTGCATGAAGTTTCAAAATTATCACCAAATACATTTTGTTCTACATTTTTGTTTCAGGATGAGTTTCAAAAAAGAAACAAGGTATTGAAACATAGATGGGAATAAGCATATTCCATAAATAAAGACTAAAAACCATAAAGCATAAATCAATCAACAAAAAAATATGTTTCTCGTTTTCATTTTTCAACGAATTTTGACGAGAGAAAATTTGCAATTCCCATTGCACTTCATGTGTGAGATAAAGAATTATGCAACTGTCATTCATGAATCATGGCGCATGAATTTCCAAAAACGATTTATAAAGCTTCTCTGGCGAACGTGACAATTTTTTGTTGTTGTTTGTTAAAGCCAAAGTTTTTAAAAGGAAAAAAGAAACTTTTTTACATTCACATCGATTGATATTTTTCCATTTATGTAATTGTTATTTATGATAAATATGTTGTTAGATTTCAGAAAAGTTTCTCAGGCCTACTCGGAATCTTATAAAGCATGAAAGAAGACTACAAAAATGGGATTGTGTGGTCAAATTGAATAGAGAGCTTAAGATAATCTACGGTATGTTTCATAATTTTTCTTGACACATATTCGAACATCCTTCGTACATAAATACATAAATGTGTGATATTTATTGAGGCAAACATTTATATTTACCAGCTAACACACACTCTTCCTGTCTATTCAGATAGAATATTTTTAAATATGAAACAATAAATTCATTGACAATATTATGGTCTTTAAAACGAAAGAAGGTTCCCTTAAAATTTTCTTACAAAATTTCTAAATATTTTCTCAGCTGCATTACAAAAACCTGAATAACTTTTTTATTTTAAGTTCTTTATCTAAGAATTCTTGGGAAATTTCAAATTTGTGACAACTTTGACTTAACTTCTCAAGTTTTTCATTAAATAACATGGCAATGTTTACTTTTAAAATAATCAGTTGTTACATGAGATGATTTTCAAACATCTTCATCTTCTGTTTAATGAAAGTAATATACGCTGGAAACTTTCTTGAAAGCTCAAATACTTAGTGAAAGTAAAAAAAACTTTGTTTTCTCGGTTTTAGTATCTTAAATAAGATTGTGTTTCTGTGGTTCAGTAAGATGCAGAATTGTAATGAAATTCGAAATGTGACAAAAAAGATTGGCTGCCAAATCGACAGCCCGACATACATTTTCACTCACAAAGCTCACAATCAGATCAGAATTTCTAGAACGTCATAAATAGATCACTGATAATGGAGATGAAAAGAACTGTCATTGAGACAAGATTAACTTGAAATATGGTTTTCCAACTTGGGTACCTACAAGGGTACCTATATGTGCAACATTTCCCAGTGATTGGATTTTTTTTTCTTATTTTTTTACCCTTTTAGGTCGAGAAATTTTCGCGTTCTTTTAAGACAGTATTTTCTTTCACCGTATTGCCTTGAGTATTTCCGATCGGTCATAGCAGAGAAAATTTTTATTTTCGGAGAGGGTTGGCATGTCAAATTTTTAAGCTAAGTTAGGAGCAGAATGTATATATTCAGTTGGCTTTACTTGAAATATTTTCGTTTACCATGCAGTGACAATCGTGATATTGTCGTGATAGAGTTAACAAGACCGTAAATGTCAATCATCAGCTTGATTTTCGATATTTTTGAATGCATATATCACATACTCCTTGTTAGTGGGTGTCAGTCTTCGGAATTTTCCCTGACTAGCATATTAGATACATTGTGAAATGTAAGGGAAATTGAAGAAGATTTTTGTGTCGTTTATAATATGAAAACTTTTTTGCATCCTTCAAAAAGAGAAAAAAATGTCACGAGGTTATCGATGTAGGCTAAATTGTCAAGAAATTCAACAGAAGAAAATCTCATTCTGTGTGTATGTTTACTTTGTAAATCCAATTTTATCAAAAAAATCTGAAAACCTCGAAAATATCATGACATTGCCAATACAAATACATTCTTAACTCTCGATGAGAACATTTTCCCAATTCTAGAAATTGAATCAAAAATGGTATTTTCAAGAGACCAAAACTTTTAATTTTCGTCATATTTTCAACACTAAACACAAATAGTTTCGTTTAACAGCTGAGCTCAACTAACATTCCTTTTCTTCAGTAATCTTATTTCAATCTTTAAGTTTTGGGAAAAGGAAAATCATAGGATGAAGTTGTAATACCTATCTACTTGTCTTTTCCGCAAGGATAAATTTCCTTTATGACAAGAAAACTTTTCTATATGTAGATATATCCAAGTAACTGATGATGCTCCATTGAAATTCCATGACAATGTATGAATTCAAGTGATATTTAAATCAATTGTGCAAGTGCATTCGAAAAAAACTTTTGCAAGCATCTTACACGGAAATAAAAGAAAAAGAAATTCTCTAAATAAAGCAAGTAGGTATCTAAATACTTTGATAGTATAAATTTCCAAAGCTACATTTTGAGGAAATAAAAACACCAAAAAATTCTACATTTTCATCTTTCACGTTTCTAATGTTCACATCAATCGAAAACCTTTTTCTCTATCATCGTCATTTTGATATTCAGTGATAAATTTTAATAAATTTTCATAGAAGAATAGAATTTCTTACTCTTCTAGCTTTTGTTTTCTTACTACATGTAGGTGAAACTCAACAACTTTGTTTTTCGATCCATTGTTCCATGAACGGATTTGGAAATTGTTTATGAGGCATTTAGAAGCTACTAAAAGGATTTTCCTTTTTCCGATCCAGTTACCAAAAACTTGATATGAGAGTTTAGGTTCAGAGTATGCATTTTCAAATATTTCCATTGACTTTTCAATTTGTTTTTGTGTAAGTAATGAAATAAAATTCTCGTTTTATTTAATTTACTAGAAATTTGTCGGTAATTTAGTGCAAATTTTGTTTTGAACAATTTTGTAATTTTGTGATATAAACTAACAATGTAACGAAATATGAACACCATTGATTCTCATCTTAGATTCTTCTTATAATTTAATACATAATAACACAAATGGCTTCCTATCAAAAGTAATTAAGTAAACATAAAATTAAGTGGGAATGTAAAACCCACCCACATGGTTAATTTTAAAATTCAACGAACATTTTAATTACGATCTAAAATGGAATATTCATTGAGCTACAAAAAACTAAGTTAAAAAGACTTCTTAAGCTTTTTATTGCTATTTATTTGTTAACCGAAGATTTTCCAAATTTCCATGTTTCAATGGTTTCCATTGAAATACTTTTGTTCATTATGCAATGAAACTTTGATTTTTCTATGATACTTTGAATCTCATTGAAAGGGATTCAATTTGCATACTTGAATGCATGAACCTACATATTTACATTCATAAATATTTATAGAAACGAAGATAATTTAAAATAAAAATAAAAAAACCTTTTCATCTTAATATTAAACAGCTCCAAGAATATCTGAAATCATTTGCTTATTATTCTTTTACAAATATCTAATCAATCTTTGTTTGTTTATACATTATTTATTATGAAAAGAATGGAAAAGAAACATAAATCTAAAGGATTTTTATTTATTTTTTCTAAACTTAATGTCTCAATCCAAAGCAGTCTTTAGAGGTCATAAAAAAGGAGATAAAAGCAAAGAAAAGCTTGAATAGAACAGCCTCTTATACTTATTTCTCCATAAGTAATTGTATACGAAATGTCGTATACGTAAGTATATTGTATGAAAAAAAGCCACAAAAACATTGTTTTCTTTTGTTAGACTTTTTAAGTGAAACTTTTCTTACCTCCACCTCCACGCTCCACCTAATTTATTCACACATGTGCGTTGCATATGTGATATAATGTAAGATGTGAGATGAATATTATTGCTGACAGGATTGCCGATAACGGAATGATTTTTTTTTCTCTTTAAGGGAGATGAAGGATTGGAGAAGAAATCTGACAAATATAATTTTGAAACGTCATCTTAGACAATTTATCTTAACTTATTTGAGCGAATGTGAAAATATTCAGTCAGTTGATAAATATTTAAAAATTAGGAGCAATTAAATAAATTTAAATTTAATGGAATTTAAATTTAGTGTAAGCAAGTTTTATTATCTTTCATCCTTTGGATCAAAGCAATTAAATTAAATTTTTATTAAATGATTGCTTCTGAAAGGTTACAAGAGTTAAATAATATTCTCGAATTCATAAACAACTTAAGGGATCTGAAAAGTTTCCTAAATGATGCGACTCTCTAAATGTTTATGACACATTCGTAAAATATGAAAACTAAATGATATACTGGAGCTAAAATTTAATTGTTCCATCATGCCAGAAAAAGCCTCTAGAAATTTATTATATTAATGAGTCATAAAATTTTCGGATCAAATCAGAAACAAGGTTTCATTCAATAATAAAAATTTAAATATTCACTGAATACAGAAAACTGTTTTCCATAAAATTAATTTTCCTTCATTTCCCTGTCACAGAGTGGAGAGAACAAAATTATTTATTGCTTTACTGCTGGCGATTTTTCAGGTTGGGGAACAAAGAAAAAAAATCGTTTTCTCGCTGAAATTGCGTTTTATCGAAAAGAAATCATCAAAATGCAAATCGAAACAATTCAACGGATATCTATTCAAATGTTCGACTTTTACATAAGGAATTTGAAAAGTATTATTTTGCACAGCATTTAACTTCCGTTTTCCATTCAAAAAATATATTTAAGTAGAGGTGGAATGCTATAAAAAGCGCAATAAAAACTGTGATAAAAGCATTCATGAGAGGTTGGATGCTACCTTAAAAGAAAAAAAGCAGATTTAAATTAAAGATATATGAAAAACTGAGATGATGATAAAGAATCGAAAATAAAATAGACTTTTATGACTCGTGGAAATATTCTTTTAAACGCTTTCCATGATGACAAAAGTTAAACATAAAATTATATCTAAGAGAAGAAAATCACATGTGGCGATGGATAGTAATGTTGAATAGACATCGTTGGAAACCTTAACAATTGTTTATTTGTTTAAACTTTTGTTGAAAGAAGAAAAGAAAGGAGGGGTGAGAGTGAAAGAGAAATGTGTACTCGTTCATGAGTAAACTTTTGAGGATTTATGAAGTTGTGCTTTCATACACCTAAAGTGTCTTAAATTTAGTTGTTTTTGAAAACAAACAAATAGTAGAAATATTAGGGCGGGTCGCTATTTACTCTACGTTTGGGTTCTCGCAATATTGTTTGATCATAAATTAGCAAGGGATTATAGCGAGCATTTCACACAAAATTTTTGAACTATAGTTTACTTAAATGCTTAATTAAACAGTTTTCAAAAATTTATCATCTCCCACACGTAAAGAGCCTCGAACTATGAATTTATCTCTTATTTATCATACATTTATGAAATATTTGGCTGTTCGAAAGTTTATTTATTCAGTTTTAAGTTCTTTCAATTGATTCCATCTTTTCTCTTGAACATTTTCAAAAACTTATTGCAGAAATCATAAGCTTTTATACAGCTGCTTATACTTTTAGCTTATTAAAAGTTTCATTGTTTCGTTGTTTCCTTCTTCCTGCTTATTATATTAAATAAACTTAGAAAATCTGCGCGAAAACTTTCAGCTGCTTTTTTTAACTTGGAATATAAATTGAAATTTATTCTTTTTTAACTCTGCTGTGTTAGCAATAAAATTTTCACTACCCAATTTGCTTGTGATGACAAAGCTTGTTGCAATGGTATGTAAGCTTGAGGCTCAAGGTTCCAACCCTTTAATCAAGATGCAGAGAAAAAGAAAAAAAAAAGTAAAATCATCTAACCACATTCACATATCTCTTCATATAGTACTTACGTGCGTATAACAGTCACAGTCATTCATCAGATTACATCAAAATGTGTAGCAAAACGCGCTTCTGGAAATTTATCATTTTTACTGTTTGTTTCTTGCTGCTTCTTGCTTTCCTTTTGCAAGGCACTTTTTTTACGTTCAAAAATCACATAAAACATAACAATAAATTTTATTAAAAACTCCGCAGTATTAAAACGAAGAATGGTTGAAAGGGAAACTGTATTAAATATAATGAAAGCATAACAAAAGTTCAAAATCTGAGTCTCACAAGCTGCGTGATACCTCTATAAAATATGCAAATCCTTTTCATAACAGCTTATATGTGTCATATATATAATGTGTGTTCTTCAAAAGCTTTTTTTACTTTCGATTTCTTGCAAACACAAAGCTTAAAAGCTACTAGAAAATAAAAAATAAAGCTTTTAGTGTTTTATTGAGAAAACTTCTTATAATGTGACCATATTTTAATTAAATGTGCTGTCATTCAGCAACAGTGTGAGCTTCTTCAACATACGAGAATCATTATGAATACAAATAAAAATATGAGGTTTAAAAATGGCATAGTGAAATTCAATTAAAACTGTGAATTACGGAAAGTTTCATTACCAACAGAAGTTAAGTAATGAAAATGCCATCAAATGTTGATGTTTGCATATTTGGGAAATATTGTAGAATATTATCTTTTTGGGTTATCAGCGATAACAGATAACATAAAAATTATGTGCACCATTAAATATGAATGATGCTTATGTGCCCGAATTATGGGGCCAATGATAATTTCTCGGACACGCCGTAATGTTTAGTCGAGCATCGAATCATCCATTTTTATGAGGCATTATTCAGTATATGTAGCCTCAATCAGACAAACGAGCATGTGGCCTTAGCGTTCTATGCTTAAAGAACGACAATAAATTTAAATTGAAAATGCCTCTTTTTCCTTCGTTTCGGTATCTACTTTTATAATATCAGGAAGTAAGGAAAAACGTCGCTTTCATTGACAAAAATATTCTTTCGAATAAATAAGCACCAATAAATAAAGTTTGACTTCGTAATTTAGATTTTTACTGAAATGCAGAAAAGAAATTTCATAATTTCCTGTCATATACCTGACCTTGTATAGGGAAGCGTTTTTAATGAGTTTTTCTTTTTCTTCTCGATGCTTGAATTATTCCAAGCTTCAACGATTTCAGGTTTCTAAGAGAATTTCTCAGGAATTAGAAAACGTTGCAGGAATTCAATGAATTTTTATTTTAGAAGTTGTTAAAAATGATTTCAATATGAATTTAAATAAATCAGTTTGAAACAGGAAACTTTTAAGGATGACATCATTGAAATTGAAATGGGAAATTTAGAGAAACCTTATGAATTAAATTTGCTTTTATTTGATCTACTTAAATATTTTTAGAAAAAGTATATCTAGTAAATAAGAATATCAATCTCTGATCAACGGATTTGTGAAGACATGTTCTATCTTGTGTTCTATAATTTATTTCTCACTAATGTGAAAATTTCATGAATCTCAATCTTCAATGAAAAGACGAAAAGATGAAAAGATAGATTTGTGATTTGAATATGTGAGGATGAAATGAGAAGCATCCCTTTAAGAAATCGGAAACATTCCTATATAAAGCCGAGGAAGCATTCAATTGTCGAAACGGATAGAATTTGAGATTTTGAAACAATGTTTCTTCTGTATTCCAGAATTCAAATTAAATTTCTCATGAATTATTATGATACAATGGAATTTCCAGAAATGCGAGTGTGTGTAAATTTTACACCATAAATTTTTTGTGATGTATTATCCTTTCTTCTTGTCCTATAAACATGAACGAGTGAATACTGCAGAAATGGAATGAAACCGAAACGTAACCCTTGATGTGACCAGACAGAAATTATTTATGATAATCCTTTGAAAGAAAGAAGAGAAGAGAGAACTGAGAACTGAAAAATGGGGTTACGATATGATGAATGAACTACATAAGTGTTTACGATCTATGAATGTTGTTGGATAATCAATAGAAAGTAAGCTAAGGAAACGCACGTAAGAAAATACCAGAGGAAACAAACAGATAATCTTTTAAAATCACCATCTTATTCATTTTTTGTGTTTCGATAAACATTTCTTATAATTTTATTTCATTTGCCCTCCTCTAGGACATCTGACACCTTTTTCATCAGATATTATTTAATCTTAAGAAATTCAAAACATGTCAATGTCAATAACCTTGATTATTTTACGTAACAACTCAACGACCTCTTTACTGTTTGTTGTTCCTAATTTTTTTTCCTAAAATTTTCAGCAGATGTTCGTTCATCCCATGTGATTGTTTGGGAATTTTTGTAACTTTAACAAAAGTATTCAGTAACAATTGTTTATCTAAGAGAGGAGAAGGACAAATAAATAAAAGTTGAAGTGTTGAAATTAAGGATTTTGTCAGTTTCAATGTAACAAAATATTCTCCATTCACTTAATCATCTACGACATAGACCAAAAAAAAAGAAGTGTAAATCTCATAACTTCTAATAATATGCCGAATATCAATTACATAACTTTTCAAACATAACGTGACTTGATTTAATTTGACTATTTATTTTTTTTATCTTCTTTAGTGGAAAAAGTTATTCTCGTTTCGGAGTAAAATCGAATTCAAGATGCGTGCGAATATGAAATCAAATTAGTAAAAATATTAAAGAAATTTTTATATTGAAGTCAAGAAGTAAAATTGATTGCCTTTGAAAGAGTTTTTTCTTCTCAGTTTTTTTTCAAATCGGCGAAACAAAACTCTCAAAGGTTGTGTACATTTATAGAGATTGAAAAAAGAAGTTTACTTATACGAAAAAATTATGCATGCAGACGTGCGGCAAAGAATTGTTAGGCTTGTAAGGAGGTCATTAAAGCCAGGAGTTGTTTCGCAAGTCGACTTTAAACACGAGAAAACTCTTATTCGTGTTTTTATGCCTTTCGTTTTGAAAGGTTCATCGCTTGTTAAGCAATCCTTAAATCGCTTAATAACTTTCATAACTTCAACTCTGTAATAATAATCATCAATTTACGATGTTTTACAAGGAAATTTAGCACAAAGGCTCATCATCCATCAAGTTTCTTACAGAGAAAAAGGAAGCAATGAATCACTTGTAGACGTTGTTTTGTTACTTTGAAGCTTTCATTTGACATCATCACACCTAGAATTTTCAACAATTTGTCATTTTCCTCTTCTCGCCACCATCTTCACAATCCGTCATAATGAATAAAAGCTACAAAAGTTTAGTTCGAAGTGTAAAAGAAAAAAATGTTACAAGTGAAATTGAAAATTATGTTATAAATTTTAGCAGTACTCAAGCAATGTTGCTATAAAATCTCTCTACGAATGCAAAATTAATGTGTAGAGTTTACCTACATGTCGTCAATCTAAGAATAAAATTCTGTTTATTGTGTAATAAAGTGAACAATAACTTATGTTTACTTGTGTTCATGACAACTAATGTCAGACCACTTATCAAGTGTTTTGATTGCAATTCACATGAAAATTTTGCTTTCATTCAACTGCACTTCTGTTCTTCACCCCAGGTGCATTTTCTCATTTTCAAGAAATTCTCTAATTAAAGGAAAATTAAAATGTCATAAAACTGCAGATAGTTCGTAGAATTGTTAATAATGGGAAGCAATATTAAATGTAAACAGTCTGACATAAATATATCTCTATTAGTTATAAAATATTCACACGTTAGTGATTGTCAAAAATCATTTTATTTCATTGGACGAGAAAGTATCAATCAATTAAATTATTGAAACAAATCTGTTACATATATTTGACACTTCCCACTCAATCATTTATAAATATCCCTGATTTGTTTGTAATATTTTAGAACAAATTTACATAATTTATGTGGTACATATGGTTTCAACTCAACATTTCTCATATCAAAGCTGAAATGCAAACGAAACTGATTAGAATTCTTATTTAATCTTCTTCATACCTACATTCTTTTTGACAATTTCTAGCTTGTTGCCTTTAAATTCAATTTACTAATTATCTATACCAGATTTGGGGCAAAAAGTAATAAATTAAATTCAAATCCTTTGCTGAAAAGTGAATGCAAAAACGGAACCGAGAATTAATTCAAACGTTGCTTTTCTCTGGAAAACTGTGGACTATGCTTAAACATCTGATCTCCTTTGAGCTTTGCATAAAACATTTTCGCTTTCGCCGACATCTTAACTTGGATCTGTTGTGACGCAGTAAAAACTAGCGTAATAAATCATCCTCGTTTCAAACGAGATGAGTTAAGGCATGAAGAGGAAAACGGTATTAAATATATATTCCATTTTGACTCATACAAATGGTACATTAACCCTTTCTCATTCATTCATTCATTCATTGTAAATGGAATTTTATGAATAGATATTTTTCTCCTATGGCGTTGTAAATAATCAAAACTAATCATAATCAACACATGAGATTTATGGTTTATAGAATAGCGAAAGTTAAGATGAAGTAAAACCGGATCATGAAAATCAAAAACTGGAAATGATATTCCTTTTTTCAAATCTTATTTCTTTTAAATTTTTCCCCTATTCTGATCGAGAGATATTTTTTCATGCTCCAAAGTCTGTTCTAAAGAGATTGTTTATTTCTGATGAGAATATATTAACTTACTCGTGAGTAAATATTATCTGACATTGAGATTTTGTTTCTATGTTGGTAAACAATTTGAGATTAGATTCATAACAAGAAAAAGTAAACTTGCGGTGATTAATGACTATTGACAACCCCCATGTGCTTGTCACATTAATAGCAGCCAAATTAGTCAGGCACAAGTTGCAGGTCGCTTCATTTCCCTTACCCAAATCTTGATTTCCTTCATTCACACAATAATGTGAGGTATTTTGATCATTTCAGAGCTCTATAATTACACGTGAATGTTTGGTTGTTTTATTTCTAACTTAACAAAAATATTAGTACATACCTAGATAACATAATGAAAAATTTAAATTATTTTTATGTGTTTTGTTTCGTCTTTGAAAGCAGATTTGAAATACAAATAGACAGAGTTGCTTTAATGCGAAAAGACATGAACGAGCCTTTCTTTCTTCACCTGACTATATACGATGTTGAAAACATCACGAGAGAATGAAGAAGAAGCATAAACGGATTAACAGTTTTATCTCCATCATAGTTTGCGCAATATGATTACGGCCAATTCATGCTCAGCACGAACAGGAAAGTTTTCCCTCTCTACAGTCTTAATCTTTGTTTATAGAAGAAACAGCGACACTAAGTAGCAGCAATGTTTTTCTTTTCATGTTGAATATTTAGGGATGAGAAAAATGTTCAGGTGGGAACTCCAAAAGCAAGTTTAATTTTGTAAATTCTTTGCAACGTTACATCAATGCAATGACAAGGTAATTTTCATAAGAACATTTTACGGAGGCCCACCTTTGGTGAGGTTACCGTATTGTATTCGACATTTTTTTTTGAAAATTTTTTTTTGCTTAAATATGCTTAAAATAGCATGAAACGTCGAGAAAAGTGGAAAAAATGGACTTCCATTTTTCCGTCGCCTTTCAACCCTGTCTGTCTGTATGTCTGTCTGTAACTTTTTTTTTGTTAACTTTTCTGAGAATTCTTATCAGGAATTTTTCTGAGAATTCTTATCAGGAATTTTTCTGAGAATTCTTTCTAGAGTATTTCCGAGAATTCTTTTGAATAGAACGATCGGTGCGCGTGTGGGAGAGTGAGTGGAAGACCATGGACAGTCGGAAGGTCCATGGACAGTCGGAAGGTCCATGGACAGTCGGAAGGTTCACCATATGTATCTTGAAACTCCATACCGGCCGGAGTAACTTAAAATTATGCGTTAGCATAATTTGAAGCTCCCCATGTGGAGCCTCCCCATCTCCAATTTGTTTAAAGCTTAGATATTTGCTTATTCTTTTTTCATTTCAAAAAATATTTTTTTGGTTCTGGAGGGCAATAACTTTCGCATCACGTAATAAAAATTGTTTATTAAAAATCTTGAAGCTTGTTTACGTTCTCAAAATGAGTAAATGATTGATACCAAAAATAATTCATTCAACACACAGTGAATTGAAGAATCTACCATGATAATAATAATAATAATATAACAAATTAAGAATTCATTATGATATTTAACGTGTCTTTTATTTAATTAATATAATATGAAGTAAAAGAGTCTTAATAAGTAAACAATTTCCATTGTTCCATTTCATCGTTGATAAAATATGGTCATTGAAAATTATGCGCATACATTAGCCAAATGGAGATGTCAATTCTTGTTGATATTTTGATACTCGAAAAATATGAATTGCTTGATTTTTTTTGTCATGTTTAACAATCATTAAAAGGCTTTCTTTTCATTAGCAATATATTCGTTTGTCCACCTAAAATGTTGAAGAGCTTCCTCTTCACGAATAGATTCATTTCATGAAATTTTAATTAAAAATTAACATTGAATAATTTCTGATAAGGCAACTCAGTTGCTTTCATAACGCCAACAATTTGCATCAGTTTTTGCATTCATTTTCTGAAAGGAAAATACAGAAAGAGATTTAATTTTAAAACATGCTTTAAATAACAAAATTGCAATTTGTAATTTAGTTAAATAAATAAATTGAAAGGATATTTTAATCAAACTAAAAATATTTCATTATTTACGTATTAAGATACTGTACTAAGAATAATTTTTTTGTTGACAATTATCACAACCTGATTTCTAGTTTCTTTAAAAACGTCCCATTTGAACATATTTTTGCGCAATAAAAGTTCAAAAAAGGGGTAAATCAAAACAGGATTTAAACAATACTTTTTTTTAAAAAAATGGTTTGAATTAATGTAAATCAAAACGTATTATGTGTCAATGAAATTATTCAACATCGTAAGAAGGGAGCGAATATTCTCTCATAAATTTTGTGTTCTAAAAAGAGCATTCTCTCGTTAACTTGATTCTCTGCTGAAAACATCAGAAAACATAATCTCAACATTGGCTCTCATTTCATTCTCACCAAGAAATAAATATGAACATATCTACCTAACAAAATTATTTATATATGTTGTATGTTGCACAATTGTATTAAGCAAAGATTTTGTTGTGCTCTTCTCTTTCTCTTAACATGTACTTTTGAAGCGTTAGTTGTTTAGATGCACTCGCTAATATAAACGATGAATGTTGATTTTCAACTGTTCTTTAAAGAGAACTGGGAGCAGATGTTTCGGGGTAAAGAAACCCTCGGCATTCGGTTTGTTATGTTTTTTAAACTTCTTTATTAAATTTCAGTTAACGTTAAGATTTCAATCGATACGGACGTGCTTTAGTTACAAAGTCGATTCGCTTATGTTTTGAGATTTCGTTTTAAATGTGACGAATTTCTAGTGTTTCATTCTTCATTCTTGCTCTACACAAAAGTGCGCAGCAAAGTCAAGTAAATCACATTACGGAACAGAGTATTTAATTTCAAAAAAGAAAAAGAAACGTTTGTAGATGAAATATCAAGTGAAATATGATAAATTGAAACGTTACGCTTGGACTGATTCAATGGTTTTGAACAAAAATTACTTTGTACGGTCGAAGACCAATTTTCAAAGCTCTTTCAATAATTGACGACAAAACTGAAGAAAATATTTATAAATATAAAAAGTTTGTACGTGACATTTTCTTCGGTTCAAAATAATTAAAAAATGATTCTTTTTATTAGAATATAAATTAATAAGTTATGTGAGATTAGATATCGATGAATAAATTGATTTAAGAGATGAATGTGAGAGTCAAAGGTTTAAACTAATATAAAGTCAAAAATTGATATTTATTGGAGCATGAAAACTATTGATGAGTTAAATTGATTAGTTTTTTATTAAACATTGTAGACTGTAACAAAAGTTTGTTTTACAAAACCCTAATGAGCATAACAAAAGGTAAGTTAAGTTGATTTAAATTTTGGCACTGGTTTTAACACAGTATATAAGCCAAAAAAAGAGAAAAATACCTACATAAACAGATGCGATGTAAAAAACTTTTGTTGATTTTTTTTTATTTTCACATAATTTTTGTTAAGTAATGTTTATGTAATAATTCAATTAATTTTTTTGAACAAAAACAAACATAAACCGAAAGTAAGGTACGTGAAAATTGGCTTTCCCAGCATTTTCCATGTATCATTAAACTTCATGGGGTTGTGATTACGTGTTTTTGAACAAGGTTCGGATAAATTCTTAAATTGCAGTTACGAAACTGACGCTTCATGATGAAGGGTTCTTTTTTTCTGAATTCGGAACTTTAATCGTTCGAATGATAAATAAATCTTTCCTTCCTCATTGCTTTTCTTTTTCTCCGATGTCCGCAATCCTAACGAAAAGGAAATCAAAACTTGAACAGAACGAATGAAATAAAAATGTAAACCTTTTAATGCTTGCACAGAATTTTTAGTGCTCATTAATTATAGCCTAAGGTTCTTGTTTCACTATTACAAGATCAAACATGAAGAAAATGTGTATATATAAGATGAAAGCTTACTATATAAGTAAAATCTTAGTCATAAGGGAACAATAAAGTAAAGAAAGTTAATTTAAAAATTACAAAAAGTTTTGAGCTCCACTGGAATTTCAATTCATATTTAATTTATTAAAAAAATCATTCGTGACTGTTTTGTTTTCTGTTTCCACAGTATGAGAAAGGATCTTTCCGCTTTCCTTTCACGTCACAAGAAGTAAAGGAGTGAAGAAGTTAAAAACTGTTTTACAACATAAATTATTCATCAAGCTTCCATCATAAGTCATATATTTTGCATTTACATGCATAAACATTTTCCTCAGTTTTTTTAGTATATGCCCTCAAAACCCACCAAGCAAAATTTCAATGTTAAAAAATCTCGTTTTACATAATAAAGGACTCACAGCGTACTGTTTAAGTGTACGGGTACGAGAGCTATCATAGTCGTATGTATAAACTTTTTATTACGCCATCAAGAACAACCATAGCTTTCACTTGATGAAAGAGAAATTTTGTAACAGTAGAAAAGATTATTATTCTTTGAGAATAAAGAAAGAAACTGAAATGAAGCTTTACTATCTATATCTATATCAGAATAAAGAAACAATTTACTTTTACCAGAGCTGCTTTATTCTCTACTCATCTACTTTCTTCTACATCTTTCCTTTCTGATGGGCTATAATAATTTCGAATAAATGCTTATGAACGTG